GAAATTGATAAATGATGTAAATACTCTCTGATTCCTTTCCTTGTTTTGTCGTGTATACCCATTATTGCTACTGCTTGTGTGTTTAATTGGCATGAAGGTTGAGTTGTGTTCACTGATTACCAGGATTGTTCATGAAATTCTTAGGATTGTATGACGACCAAGCTTAAAAGGAGTGTATATCCCACAACATTGAATTATTTATCAATCAAATAAGCTTCAATCTAGTGTCTTTTATTTTGGTCCAAAATTTTCCTTGATGTAACATTTATTATATATGGCTATACCTAACTTTGAATTGTATTCCTCACTCTATGCTTTGAATGTGATGTTGTTCATGTCTTGCTACTAACAAATTTGATTTCTTTCTCTTTTCATGTTCATGATGCCTACTTGGATCTTGAAGGGTGTGGATAACATGAATTCAAAAGAAGAACCTCTTGGCTTTCTTGTTTTACAACACATGATTGGTAGGATTTGAGTTAATGTGATAGTTTGAGATTAAATCATTACTTTTGATTTGGATTTGGACAACTTGGAAGAATTTTTTTAGGACTAGGATTTAAATAGCTTTAAGTTATACACCTTAGAAATTGGGATGTAATAAGATGTTGTAATATGAATCTTTAACCTTTCAATAATTTAGAATTTGAATATGGAAATGATGTTATAACTTGAACCCTTATGCTTGAATTTTCAGTTTTGAATGGATCATGATCATGGCATTAAGCTTGTTCTACATGGAGTTTCTCTTCATATTTGGCAATACAAGTCTTGTAATTTGGATGTTTTAGGATCTCTTGTAAAAATGTAGTTTTAATCCTTGTAGTTTCACCATTCTTTTGTAACCATAATTTGAAATTTGCTTTTGTATTTTGAATGAATTTGGTAACCTTGGCATGGAAAAAGAACTTGAAATCTTGTATGGGTGATTTGAGACCTTTATGGGATTTATGTAATGGCAGTGTGAAATTTCAACTTGAACCTTGTATGCTTTGAATAAATTTGAATAAAATTTGATGAAACTTGTTCTTCTTTGAACTTTGAATTTGAATTTTAATAAATGAATTAAGTGAACTTGTCTTGATGATAATGGATGGTAATCAAATGAATATTGCATAACAAACTTGAATGGGATGCTTAACATTTGAATAAAACCTTAAATGAATCTTGATGAAAACCATTTATGGATTCTTGAATGCTTCCATGTTCCAACAAGCCACAACCAAAGAACTTGATTAGGGCCTTGTAATGACATTTGAATCAAGATGTATGCCTTATAACCCAAACAACAAGCGTATACTGTACTGATGAATGATGAAAGATGATTCCTATTAGATGCACCATGTCTTAACCAAATTATAAGCACAAGCATATGAATAAATATTTGAACTAAGAGCCACAAATAAGTCCTTATATTCTCATTCAAACCTTTGATTCCTTGTGATGAAAAACATTTGATCATATCTTTGAAGGAAAACCTTAGCTTGGTGAAGAGATAATGCTTTGCGATAGCCAATGGTTAAACCCTAATCCACGTGCATTAGGTGCACAGTGGTGAAACAACAACTTGAGATGTTGAATAGGACCAAAACCCTATTTCAAAGCATATATGAGTTGAAACCTTGATGAAACTCTAATCACTTAATTACATTGAGAAATCTTGAAGGAGATGCCAATGAATCTTGATAAGAAGATACTCCATGTGATGGGAGTTTAACCTTTTCTTCAAACTTTGAGTGTAGTAACCAAATGAATCACCTTTGAAATAGGGAAAATCCAAATCATAAGAAAAAAATTGATCCCATGCATGATTATGATTGTTGTGACATAATGGATAATACATATGAATGTGAAACAAAATCCAATTAGGGTTAGAGAAAGTGAGGACAGATTTTGGGGTACAACTGTTGCCAATATATTTTTTCTTCTATTGCATGAAATCCAGAGGCAGAGACAACATTATTGCAAGGATAACTTTTGATCGAGCAGCATATCAGAGTAAGGTTGTCAGGGTTGCTGATGATAAGTCTTCCCAAATACGAGCAGGACGAGTGGCCCCAACCGGTTCACACGGGAAGCGGTTGGCTGAGTAGGGTCATTTTGGGGCACCTTGTGGCAGTCGACGCCGACTGATAGGATCAATAAAGTAGCCTAAAGATGAGGTAGTGCCAGATGTTGTTATTGCTAATTCGATGGTCCATCCAGATGTTGATCCAATTTTTAATCCAGTTTTTGATTCGGTTGTTGAGGATGTTGGTTTGAGGAGGTTGCTCATGTGGTCAAGCCAGATGTTCCCGTTGCTAATTCGGTCCCATCAGTTACTGCTGACACGGAGGTTACAACTCCTTCAACTCAGCCCTTTGTGCACACTGATGGAGGATTCCCTAGAGAACCCCTCGACCGGTTGGTGCTTATAGAGTATGCTGAACATGTGTCGTTACGACTAGGGCAAGCCGTCAAGAGATGTAGTGCCATCTGGAAGCCGAAACTCTACAGGAGGACAAGCTCCGTTTAATTACACTTCTGCCTTAATCGAAAATTGAGTAAGAGACATTTTCTGAGATGTGTTTATTAAACAACATGTGACCCCCTAATTATACAATCTTGTATTTACTCTGGACCACATAAACTATTAGTGCAATCACAGTCATCCAAAACTGTCGTCAAAATCCTAAACATCCAAAAAATCAAATAAATAACACTACTGCAAATTTCATTTAGGTTGAAATTTCCAGTACCCACATGTAATTTCAAATTCCCGGAACTTACTATAACTTACCAGAAATTTCAAATACACTACATAATTTTTTTTAGTGCCGGAAATTTCATTATAACAACAAGAAATTTTGAACGAAAATTTGGTCCATTTTTTGCCTAGGGGCCGTTTTGGAAATATGAAAGATTGGGGGTGTCATGTATAAAATGGGGGTTGGCAGGTTAAATTCTCGAAAAATGAATGTAAGATGTAATTTGTAGAGCACAAGAGAAAGGAACCAATTGTTTTAGGGAGTTTCTTAATGCACCATTTATGTTTCTTATCAACCACACAAAAATACATAAAGGTCCTTAGATTTCAGAGATATTTTGGAGGTTAAATTGCGTCAGACCCTTCTCCTCCTCATTTCTCATTTTACTCAAAACTAATTCAAACTCTCTCAATTTTTTTCCTCATCACTAAGTCAGAAATCAATCAACAGAGTTCAAGGGAACTTCAATCAACATCATAAGCATCATCCAACCTTGAGGGAAAATATGAAATTTATAAGTTTTTTGAGTTTTTGATAAGTTTTTGAGTTTTTGTGTAAGTGAGTAGAAATTGATGATGCCCTCTATGTCTCTAAATAGGGTTCCAATACCACTTTCTCCTCATGCCCTATGTTGGAAAATTCATTACCCTGATGAAACCTCTTGATCATGTTAAGGTTGTATGGAGTACAGAGACATAATGTCTCGAATGTGACCATGATTGCTCTTCTTCCTATGCATTAGCTTCGAACGTAAGGAAAGAGAAGGGGAGGGGGGAGGAGAACAACAATATTTGTTTCCTGATGACAAACCTTATAATTCCTCTCTCCTCCCTAAAAACTTTCCTACGCATGTGTATTTTACTTGAGGGAAAAAAATGGAAATTCTAAAAAGGGAAGGAGAGGGAAAAGATTATCTAGAAGTTATATCAGGGTATTTTGTAGAAGACCCATAGCGCACACAACATACCGGTTTGATTGAGTGATTGTTGCTAGGAGTGGAAGGGTTTCCACAAATTGATGAGATGTGTTAGAAAATGGGTATGCTAGTTTTCCACAGAAAAATCATCACAAGTTGCATTAAATGCCACCAAAGATGCTTTCCCTATAAATGTACAAGCTTTCATAATTGATTGATGCATTGATATCCCTAGAGTAATTCGAGTGATGCTTAACGTCCTCATTGACACTCTGGATACTCAAGAGACACTCGGTAGGAAGATATGACTCATCTTCCATAGAGGGACTCACCCTCAAACTAAAAGAGACACCCTCAACTGATGGACTTATCCTCAAAATAAATGAGGCATCTTTAACTGAGGAACTTGCCTTCCAAATAAATGAGGCATCCTCAACTGAGGGACTCACCATCCAACTAAAGGAGGCACTCTCACCTAAAGGACTTGCCCTCAAAATAAAGGAGATGCCCTCAAGTGAGATACTCACCCCCTAACTAAAGGGGTCGCCTATAGTTGAGGACTCGTCCTGTCCACAAATGTCAATCCAAGGGATGCATAAAACATTTCGCCCTTTGCAAGTCTCCATGCTTGAAGGATTGTGTAATGATATATTTGCGAATGTCCTCGAATATGTGACACATGCCCTTCGATGGGGCGCCCGTCTCGGGGCGTGACCTTTATGTTATACAGGGCTCGACCATAGAGAAGACATGGATAATACTGGTATCTAATCCTTAACTGAATATGCAGACACATGCCATGGCTCTTGAGGAAATAGGTGGTCAATAGTTTTTCCTAGTCAATGTGGAGTAATTACCACTTCTTGAACCCTAGACCCAAATATCTCTATAAATACATCTTCTCTAATAGGAGAGATGACATATCATAACATACTCAGGATATGACATAAATATAAGACATCTTACCTCACACGAACTTGCTCTCTCCATAACTAAAAACACCACCAAACTAAATCTCTCGCCACTGTGAACAAATCCTACTCTCCAAAAAAAACTATTAAGAGATTTAATTATCCATACAAATTTAGGGTACCACACACTAAAGAAAAGAATATTTTTGTGGATCATAATAAAATAAATAAATAAAATTTTAAATTATTCAACTATTTTTTTATATAATTTTTTCTAAAAATCTAAACAAGAAAATTGCGAAATAATGATTATTAGTAAGATGAATCAATTACACCGAAGTGGAAAAAACCCGTTCGGTCAGTACAAGATTTTTGGGTACACTGAAGCTAAACCTTTTTCATTGCGGCCAAAACACAAACACAACAATGTCATTTTCTGTGTCCAGGTTAAGGCTCGCTCTCTCCATTCCCGCTCTCAATATTCTTCCAATCTCCACTTTCCTTCTTCGATTATACTCTCAGCCTCTACCTTCGTTCATTCCCAATGTCGACGACGCCATTTCCTCTTTCAATCGCATTCTCTATATCAACCCTACTCCACCCATCTTTGAATTCGGTAAGATTTTAGGTTCCCTTGTTAAAATGAATCAAATCCACACTGCTATTTCATTTTCACAACAAATGGAACTCAGAGGAATTCAACCTAACATTGTTACTTTAAGCATCTTGATTAATTGTTTCTGCCACCTTCGTCAACTCAATTTTGCATTTTCTGTATTGGCGAAAATTCTCAAGCTAGGTTATCAACCAAATACTGTAACCTTGACTACACTTATGAAAGGTCTTTGTCTTAATGGAGAGGTAAAAAATGCTTTGCGCTTTCGTGATGATGTTATAGCAAAGGGATTTCAGTTGAATGAGTTTAGTTATGGGACTTTGATTGACGGATTATGTAAAGCAGGTGAAACAAAAGCTGCGTTGATGTTGCTTAGAATGCTTGAAGAGCAATTGGTTAGGCCTAGCGTGGTAATGTACACCACACTCATTGATAGTCTATGCAAAAATATGCTTGTATTTGATGCATATGAGTTATATTCCAAAATGGTTGAAAAGAATATTTTTCCTAATGTTGTCACTTATAGTACTCTAATTTATGGCTTTTGTATTGTGGGTCGGCTGAAAGATGCTATTGGTTTGTTCAACGAAATGATATTGAAAAATATCAACCCGGATGTTTATACGTTTAATATATTGATTGATGGTTTATGTAAGGGAAGAGAGGTGAAGAAAGCTACAAATGTGTTGGGTGTGATGATAAAAAGTGGAGTGAAACCTAATGTTGTTACTTATAGCTCTTTAATGGATGGGTATTTTCTAGTCAATGAAGTCAACAAGGCCAAAGATGTATTCGACACTATGGCCAGATGGGGAGTGACTCCTAATCTTCATAGTTATAATATTATGATTGATGGATTATGTAAGCATAAAATGGTGGATGATGCTGTGAAGATGTTTACAGAAATGCATACCCGAAATATGATCCCTAATACGGTGACATACAATTCTCTTATTTATGGATTTTGCAAATCTGGAAGAATCTCAGATGTTTTGGATCTTATTAATGAGATGCGCGATAGAGGTCAACCAGCTAATGTGATTACATACACTTCCTTAATAGATGCTTTGTGCACAAACCACAATCTTGACAAGGCAATTGAATTATTTACGGAAATTAAGGATCGGGGTATTGAGGTTGATGTGTACACATATACAGTGCTAATTGATGGATTGTGCAAAGGGGGAAGACTTAAGAATGCGCTAGAGGTTTTCAGGATACTTCTAATTAAAGGTTATCATCTAGATGTCTTGACATATACTGTTATGATCAACGGCCTTTGTACAGAGGGCATGTTTAATGAAGTATTGGCTTTGCTTTCAAAAATGGAAGAAAATGGTTGCATTCCGGATGCCGTGACATATGAAATAATTATTCGTGCTCTATTTGAAAAAGGCAAGATAGATATGGCAGAGAAACTTCTTAGTGAAATGATTGCTAGAGGTCTACTATAAGAGTAAAACAAGGTAATATACTATCTAGTTACAAATCAAGTTATTTGAATTATCATGACTAGTACCATAATATCTTTATTCCCTTTTACTGTCACACATAAAAATGAAGATGGGCTACACAGTAGGCTAACTTTCAATTTAGTTTTTATAAATGTTAGATGTTGTTAGGTTCATATTGTTATTGAAAGAATAGTAGTGATCGACTTGTCTTCTGTTTTTTCTAGTCTCAACATATTGCAGCTACGGTCTACTAATATCAGCTCTGTTGGGATTTTGTAAGTCTGCCAATATTCAGTTAGTTAGAATGTTACTGTTATAGGCAGCTATAAATAATAACACCACAATAGATTAATAAGAATAATAATAACATTTCTCAACAGATGTTAAGCCGATACCCCATCCATACCCCTTAGAATATAATCAAATATGGACATCAATTCATTCTCCGTCTGCAGGATCATTCATGCTTTAATTTGACCGTTTCTTATCATTATTGGGGTCCTGATCATAATATTCTTTTCAGTTTTCACTCAGTTTGGATACTCGCCTCTTTTGATGTTAGCGTCTAGTGAGGGGTGTTACTTGAGATCCTCAGGTCAGATTAACTAAGAGCTTCAAAAGGTTACTATGGACTGTTTTTTAAAGTTTTTTTTTTTTTTTTTGCTTTATCTAGTGGTGAGCATCATCCCATATTCATGATTTCACTTTTTTATTGCAGATTTTGCTATTCTGATGTCTTGAGATCACAACAATTTTGTTCACATGTTCTTGAGTCAGGTCCTTTCCAATTGTAAAGTTTGATAAATTTCCAGATTTATTAGTTTGTAGCTTCCATATGATTGTCCTCCTACCACTTGTATATAAAACTAATGTTGCACATCATAGTCCTCCATAATTGTTGGCCTCACCCTTTGTGTTGAGGTGCTGATTACGTTATAATATAAAAAAAATTGTTTTGGTAGTTGGGGTGTCTGAAACAAGTTTGTCTGTAGATGCCCAAATTTGTAATTAGTATGAATTTTTTTCTTATATAGTTCATTTGCATGAGTTCTATTTAACAGCTTTCTTCTATTGTATTATTTGATTGCGAAAGCAGCCAAGGAATTCAGTCTGACAGCTATATGATTGGTTTAGCTTTTGCAAAACCCCAAATGATGCTTTAAGTAAAAGCCAATTTCTTTATACTTTATGTGTGGGATTTCAAAACTAAACCAAACTTTTTGTCTAACTGATCAAGTTGTCGAATCTAATTTTTTTTCCGACAGACATCCAAGAGCATTGGCATTAAGATAATTGTTTCTAATTGGATGTATGAATTATATTCCTTGGCTTGTTTCTGAATTAGATAATCAGTGGTAGTATGCTATTGTATCAGTCAGTCATAATCAAAATCCTGTTCTCTTTACTCTTCCATCCCTTTTTCTTTGCATTTTAGTTGTAGCTCTCAGTTTCTTTGCCTGCATTTAAGCACCTACCATGACTGAGTGCTCAGTAATGGAAGTAAAATTAAACTAGAAGTACGCAGAAACTGTCGATGAAGAATAGTTGAACTGTTATATTAAGTTATATAAACTAATGAGGTTACTCAATTGTAAGCATATTTTTAAAAGATGTTCTGATGTTGTTATCAATAAGTTAAATATGAGTAGAGACTCCTAATAACTTTAGGTTAAGACTTAAAGTTGGACTCCTCATAACTTTAGGTTAAGACTTAAAGTTGGACTCCTCATGTACAATCATCACTACCAATAATACAATTTCTTCAAACACTGAAAGCTCTGAACCTATTAATTTATAACATGAGCACAGAATCTGGTATAAAGCTTTTATCATTTGCTTATGCTTCTAAATTTGGAGATTCTACTTTACAATGTAAATTTGGCGACAGATTTGCTACTTGAAATATTGACACGGACAAAGCAAATTTTAGTCATGTTGATCATTGAGAAGTGAAAGCATTGGCAGCTCCAACGGGAAGGAAAACAGCAGTTCAGATTAAGATAGCAGGTTCTGGAGTGCAGTTTATACCTTTCCATCTCGACATTTCATCATGGTTAGTTGTTCCTCTATTATCTGAGTACTTGCTTCTTGCTCCATAAGATTTTACTTCCTGTCGAGTTTCTTGAAATCACATGGCAATGTGCAAGCCTTGTAAATGATTTAGTCACATATTGTACTAACCACCCTGTCATATATTGTTCTAATCTTTACTACGGCTAGAATATTAATTCAGGACAGCTTTTATTGAGAGAACTAGAGAAGAAAAACATGATGGGAAGAAATTAGTTCTAGACTCCTAGTTTTATAGATTCTGGTACATCAACACTCATGATCACATATATATCAGCTGTCCTTCTATTAGTTTCTCCTTTATAAATAATGTTACAAAAATAGGGAAAAGTGAGATGCTCTGTAACATGAGTTGTCAACTTCATGTCTTCTTCTACTTGTGGCAAGGTGTCAAATCTAATGCTCTTGTTGATCATATATTTCTTTCTCTTCCATATTGTTGTCGGTTGACAACATAAAAGATAGCTCAGGTATATATTTTTTCTTCCATATTTGGTCGGTTGCAACTCATGGTTTTCATTGTGGTTCATCACTTCATCTTATCTTCTTTCAGGCCATTTTTATTTATATAGGTTGTAAATATCCATCTGTATTGAGATAGAATTTTCAAGATGTTGAGTACTTATCAATCACATTTGCAGATGTGTTGAAGAAGATTGCTAATGACTTTTCAAAATATTGCTATGTAGTTCAGTTATGTTTCTCTATGCAGTTTCTGTTTGCCTGATAACATGGGAGAAAATGCATAGGTTTTTCCTTAAAAAAATACCATCTACGACTACAAGAGTCATTAGCTCCAATGTAATCTTTGGTAGTGACATATTTCCAGTCTTTTATTTCTTTGTATGCTACTTTATTCGCATCTTTACATGTTTTATCTGCATATCAATGAAAATATATTCTTCCGTTTTTTACATTTACAGCTAGATATTCATTGTCTTCATGAAAACTTGGTTATGATGCTAAATTTAACCATAGCAAGTGCTGGAAAATAATGTTTATGAATTTAGTACTGAATGTTTCGGGAGTCATAACCTTGAGAGCTGCATTCTTGATAATCAATCTTATGAAGATGAAAGCGTTTTATTGGAAAGATGCTCTCGGATCATTCTCTTCAAAAAATTTTAATAATGAAAAAATGAACAAGGATTGGAAAGAAGAGTATACTACTGTTTATTGGGATTTCATAAGTTCATTGTTTGAAGATTTTATGCACGTAGGATGGTAGTTTCCTTCTTGTGAACTTGTTTTTTTGTTATGTTCTTATATGTAAACAAATATTGGTTGTCAGTATGTTATGTCCGTAACTAGGATTTGATTGGACTACGGAACTCTTTCTCAATTTTTTTCCGCATGTCCAAATTCAATCACTTAAGCTGCGCTATGTAACTAAAGAATTGGTGGGTGGAAATAGATGAGTCTCACGGTCCTATAAAATTATATAGCATGGACATGCAATTCATATTCAAGAATCTGTTATTATTGGTTTACCATGTGTTTATTTTGTACTAGCACGGAACACTTTCCTGAAGGATGAGATAGATTTCATTGCACATGTTCTCTGTTTTGGTTATATATTTGATCTTTGTAATTTTCTCAATTCAACGGTTGCATCAATAACATTCACATTCTACATTAGAGGTATCATTGTACTAAATTTGAAACATAGTGTTGGGAATCCTATATTAACATTCATTGTGCTAATGGTTGTAGTTTATTGTTTATCCTATGTAATAAATATATTTTAATGTATTATGAGGTGATCTTTTCCAGTATTAATCTCTTGTTTCACTTTCTGACAGATGCTTACACCTTGGGTGGTTGGTTCCTTCCTACCCTATTGTTGGTGGAATGGCACTGGTGTCTGTTACAGTGGCCTCTTTCAGTTGGTAAGATCTGCTCTGTGATCTGTTCCTTCTAGAGTTGCGGAGAAGGGATGCAGCATGTTTAATGGAATATTCATTAGGGCCGAAAATTTTGGTACAATGGATTCCAATGTGACAAACTAGATGTTGTCATATATCGGCCATGACAGTGCCCAGGCAGATTGCGTTGGCGGATTTTTTGACAACCACCGTGGTTAATTTTTGAAGAATGACTAATTTTTTCTCTCCGCATGGTTCACCGCCGATAACACTGGACAAACCAACCACGTAATGTTCTTGGCAGAAAGGTCATGGTTAAGCAAGAGGTAATATGATATGGACACTTACTAATGTTTTGGATATACTTTGGTGCTGGAATTAATTTTTGCATTCAAGGCATTTTGAGTCTCTTTATTAAAAAAAAAGTAAAAATTTCTGATGATTTTGTTCTTCTAAAAAATTCGTGTACATCTTAACTCTCTTCTCTAGAATAACAATAATGCGCTTGTTCTTGTTAGCACCTGTGTCTGTCTTCATGGCAGGTGTCAAATTTACTTCTTACCTGCAATCTGCTGTGTTTATCATGTTGTTTAAAGTAAATTGGATTCTTATCTTTTGTTAGACTGACATGTCAAATTGATACCCTTTCTGATTATGACGGGCAGGGTCTGTCCTTGGAATCCTCAAGTGATTCTTGATTTGTGAACTATGATTTTAACAGATCTATCTATTTTTAAGGAAAGCCTTCGCCTAATGACACACGGTAAACTTCCATACCTCTGTTTTTCTACTATTTCTCTCTATATATCTGTGCAATCTGGTACATAACCTTTACGAGTTTTCAACCAAAATTTCAAACGGCCTTGTCTACACTTATCTGCAAAAACAAACTAGATTACACATGCACTTTTTCCTCATGCAAATATATAATATTTACTTGAAGATTAAATATATTAGTTTTGAGCCTTTTTTTTTATGGAGGCATAAACAATTATTCAAGACAATTCACCTTAGGCTCGACGATTCTAGCCTTAAAGCATATTTTTCTTGCTGAAAAATGTGTTT